TTTCTGAAAATCTAGGTTTTTTTTGGTTTTTAATATGGTGTGCAGGAGGTCAAACAAAAAATAATTATGTTTTCCAATGCTTTAAACATTTGTATAATAGATAAATTTAAACAATAATTTGCATCATAGCCATAGAGATCAGGTGTCATAACTTGCAACAAGCGCTGCGCAGTGTCAGGATGCTGGAATGTCACGGACAATGCATCCCAAAGGGGAAAAAAGGAAGATAGCTGATGAGAAAAGGTCCAAAAGGATGGACCGAATCATTTTCTTTCATTATCAATCCTAGAGGATTGCCTGCATTTTTGCTTGGTAATGAGAGGTTGGCAAAAAATAAAAATAAAAATTTAAAAAGGCATTTCCAGGGAAGGCAGGCTAAATATGCAGCCGATCACAAAGATGGGAGGGAGAGAAAAATGGTGATTACAGAACTTCTGGATAAATGAGAGGAGAGCAAATGTAGATTTAAGAAGTGGATTGCATCTCCAAACTCCACTACTGCTGCTAGTTTTGTTGCAAGGATGGAAAACCGTCCACAGATCGAACAGGTAGCGCTCTGATGCAGGGATGGGAACATTCTTCCTTCCCCCCCCCCCAAATCCTAAAAATATAAATCGCGCGGTGAAGGGCGGTTAAGCGGCGCGCGGTTAAGCGGCGCGTGATGGGAGCGTTCACTGCTCGTCCCTGACCTCATGCTGCTATGTGAAATTGGCTTGAGGATAAAGATTTAATCATGAATGCTTATTATACATTTAAGCCCACATAGTCATTTTCTATAATGGAATAAAACACTTAGAGCCCGTGTTTCCATACGAGGTATGTATAAGACTTTGACATTTTTGTGGCTCTAGACAGATTTATTTTTTGTTTTTTTTGGTCCAATATGGCTCTTTGAGCAGTTTGGGTTGCTGACCCCTGATCTAGAGCATGAGCTAGAATTGTTCGACTGCTTGTGTTTAAGCTGCTCTTTGAACTCAGGAAAAAGACGTCTTAGCTGAAAAGAAAAAGATCTGAACATTTTCCCAAAGGTCCAAAGTTTTCAGGATAAAAACTCATGATTCTAGAGTCTAGAGGAAGATTAGAGAGAGAATCCTGGAGGTTAAAGTCAGTGTTGGTTTTACGGTACCATGCTGTCTGCCGGCTCTGGTCCACTGAATTCTATAAAGTCCAAAATCAACACCTCCATCTATCGGAGCATTTTACAGCGCGTCATGCTTCCTTCTGCTGACAGGCTTTGTGAACATGCTAATTTTATTTTCCAGCAGGACTTGTTTCTGACTCTCACTGCCAAAGGTACTAACACCTGCTTCAATTACTGTAGTATCACCAGCAAACCGGCCTGATCTCAACCCCATAGAGGATCAAACATTAAAGGCTGGTTTATACTTCCAAACCAGGTCGTCTGCATAGGTGTCAAAGTGAAGAAATAGACGTCCTGCCCCCTCTGCAGACGCACTGCTGCTCCTCTCCATAATTGAAGCTGACCGCAGACGGTGCAGCAGACAGGAGGCCGGCTTGTTTTGTTTTA